AAATCAGAAAAAAAATTACTCATGTCAACTTAAGCGTGTTTAAATTTTGCTATCGGACAAATTATTTGAACAAACAATCATATTTATTATGCATATAAAACTGCCATATAAAATAAGTAATGTTTATTATGTTCATTTATTAATTTAATACAGCCAGATCATTACAACCTTCCATTTTTTATATTAAGGTTCCAAAACACGATTTTTATCTAACAATTACCAATAGTATTTTATAGGTATTGTGCAATTTATTTTATCTATTGTCTACAACATTATTTACTTTATCGTTATAGATTCTAATCTAGCTCATTAAAAGCAATCTGTTTTTTTAAAATATCACGTAGTTACCATAATAGACATAAAAAATGTGTCCCAAGAGACCATTGTTGGAACTTTAATAGTGAAATGATTCGGTAGCTACCCTAAAAAGGATTTTATGGACCGTACTCGCAAATGTCCCACGTCAATTTCTCAGAAACATTTAAAGTAACGAACAAGTCATTTGTATTTGATTCTATTTGACCGACAATAGATATTTTTAGTTCTTGAAGTCTATTATTCATTATAATTGCATTATGTTTGAGTGTACCCATAAACTTTGGATTTTGCTAGGATAACTTATATTTTTTTATGCCATCATTGCAACTGACGAAATTAAATACTTAAAAACTATTGTGTGGACTTTAATGGAGACATGTAACCCTCAAAATTTTATAAAAAGAAGTTCATAGGTCATAAACTTCAAAATTTATTTCACTATATAGAAAATAAAAAGAGACTATGGATATTGATTTGAGACATCTATTGGTACTGTAGTATTAATGTTTTATGTTAAATATAAGGCGTAAATACAAAGAATAAATGTTAAATATATTGTGGTAAACTATAAAAAATATTTATAACACTTTTTACAATTATTTATAATTATCAGGATACTTGTGAATATATTTTTTTAACGAACTATTTTATATTTTATAAAAAAAGTATACTAAATTATCTTACTATTTTACTACTATAGAATCATCTTTTCTCATTCTTTGATACATCATTTAGTAAATTAAGAACTTTAATAAGATAATTTAGACAATATAACCATAAAACTCTAATGAAATTTGTTTGAATTTAATCATTTTATGCTTATATCTACATATCGCCTTCTCGTGTAGTTTTGTGGAGCGTCTCATATTTAAATAATGATTTTAAAAAAAACTGTGCAGTTATCTCCTAATTTGAAATGTAATAAAAAAGGTAAAAATTTTACACCATGTTTTCTCCCCGTAGTCAAACAATAAGCATGTAACAAAGAACTATACTTTTTCTTTTTTTAGCGTTTTCTTCGCATAATACTACCGTATTTACATTATACTGAATCTTATTCTCTTGACATTATTTGCTCATTGAGTACCAACATTATCTATCATTTGTTATTAATTAATTTATCTTATTTTACTTTCTTATTATTATGAAATATAGTTTCACATCACACATTTTATTAAAATATCCGAAATTAAAAATTATTTCATATTTTAGATTTACAATTTAATTAAATCTAAAATATAGTTCTCTATTCATTATTTAGATGTTAATAATCTACTTAAATTAAAGAGGAAAATTAAATTGAATACAGTAGTATTTATTTATTATGATAATTAGGAACTCAGCTAAAATAATTATCCTTCGCTTATATACAATCAAAAAATGATTGATTAAAAAGAGATAAAAGAGGAATTTAAACTCCGTTTTTTTTATTTCTTAAATTTGAAAAAAAAGGAAAAAAAATTATACCTGTATGACTGATAATTAAAGTAAAATATTATACTTTTTAATTTATTAAAACATGGAATATGTGCCATGGGAGTTCTTACAAGTCGAATATGGGGATAGAAATAATTACTGAGTATCACACCAGATTTTATCATTCCTAATAACTTTTATTCAATTAAATATTTTGCATTACTTTTTATTTAAATAATCTTTACTGTTTTCGACTAAGTTAAAAGTATATTTTTTATTATTTGTCTCTAATAATACCTCGAAAGTTTTTACCTTGGCAGAAGGAGTAAGGTCAAGAAATGTCTATTGTTAAAAATAGAAAATGCATTTAACCTACAGTCAATATGTATTATAAACTGGTAATAACTTTCTAAATTGTATGTTAAATGTTATTATCAATCAGTCATTTTCTTAGATCATTTTTTATTTTATAAGCTAGTTAAATATATATGTAGCCATTTAAGAAAAATAAAGTTGACACATTTGCAAAATATATGAATTATTTTACTTTATCAGGTTTTCTTTCTTTTCTATTGTAAAATTGCTAAAATTGATAACAGATATTGAAAAATACCCAGAAGGTTATTTTTTTTTATCATAACCCACTTAATTACTCACAGAATAAAAAATTTAAACATTATTTTTCTTGGTTGCCTATCTTTATTTATTTATTAATCTTGAATTATTGACTATACAATACTTTTTTATGTTCATCTCTTATGCCTTGAAGGATGTCAATTTTGTTTTTTTCAAATGGGAACACATATTTTGAATTTAATTAAATGTTTGATGTTTTATTTTAATAGTAAATGGAATTTTTAACACAACGTTGTTAGTTTGTTAGTTATTAAACTTTTAAGTTACAAATTTTTGAGTTAATATATGTGTATAATATATAAAGGATAACAAATACGAATAGCTAATTGGCTCTTTATGACGTCGCTATTACAGATAGAGAGCGATTATTGTAAATTATGACTATCGTCAGATATGTTGCCAGTTGGTGTATTTATAAATGTTAAATAAATGTATAAAATTCACAACAATGTCCCTTATATTTATGTTATTTTATGATTAAACATAAAAAAATTAACCACTATTTTTTTTAACTGGTCTATAGTAATAATTAATAGCCTACTTTTAACGTTTATAATATTTAATCAATATTGTAATTGATAATAAGTGTTAAAACTAAGTGCATCAAAGTTTTTTTAATTATATTAAATAAACTCCACATTTTTTATTGTATACTGACTTATTTCTGTTATTTTAGATTTTTAAAACGAAACTTTATTGAATTTTGCAATCAAGTTTTAAAACTATCTAAAGTTTAAAGTTTGAACCAAAATAATATTTTAATATTAAAGTTAGTTCCGACCATTAACAATACATAGTAATTATCAATTTAACTCATTTTAATATCTAAGTGATAATTAAAATATAACCAATCAATTAAACTATTCATAAGTTTAAGTGAGCAGACGTGGGATAAAAAAGACAACATTTAAAAACATTTGCATTTTATAACATCAAAGACGAAATATAGCGACCCGTTATAAATAAATAACGGGGTAGACCGCACTCGTACACACACTTTGTTTTAATATCGCTGTCGGGTAAAGTTTTAAAAGTTATGCGTTTCATTAAATTCGGCTGTGGACCACCAACCGCCGGCTGCTGTTTACAACCCTCAGAGCCAAAATGAAGCCACTGCCTTTGCTAAAGTTTAAAAAAATACCATGTATATAAGAATATAATAATAATAATAATAATAATAAGCCACTTTAAAAAGTTACCGCGTGACCTAACATCATAATCGTAAGAATAAACCTTAAGGTTTATATAGAGTATGAGCCACGACGTTCTTTCGTTATACTCGCTGTTCAATGCTTAACTTCTCTACCCAAAGCACCTGAGAAAATTAAGTGCACATCTTTCTATTTATATCATTAAAAATATCTTCGTCTATGTATATATATATATATGTGAGTGTGTGTGTATCTTGATTCACCTTACTTTAAGAAGATTGCATTTAATATTACATTTTTTTTTCAATTCAAATAAAATTTTTCTCAAAACGAGTTTAAAGAAAGTCTCTACTATTTATTTTTTACGTTATTCATTATTACCTTGTAAATCACTCGAAGGGGTCGTGTTATCCTAGCAACTTAATTTATTAATTATTTATCGTTTTTCTAATAATACGCATATTTTGCAAAGCGTTTGAGTAAAATTATAAGATATTTTTGTCTCGAGGCTATGAAATGTAGTACATGTACACAAATTTCTCTAAAACTCTCATTGGTATATTTAAGTAAAATTTAAAGGGTGTTTACTACACGCGTACATTTTACTCAAATAATGTATTAATGTGAAATGGAAAATAGGATTAAAAAAGGTATAAATACTTCCATAAAGCTCATTAAAGATAGGGGCATGAATATATACACTATCGCATGAACATCTAAATACATGTTATGAACAAATACAATGCGAATATTTCGTTTTTGAAGAGTACCTATTTTTGTTAAAGAAATTTGATATCAGTCTTTCAAGGTAAAATTGATTTATTATTAAATAGTAAAACATCCTTTGAGCAAACTTAAGTATTTAACTTTAAATTCACTCTGCATTACAACAACAATGGTCGATTAAAAAATGTATACTTCTAATTACTACCACTCTTCATCGTTGCAATTTATGTGCACCACTAATGAGTTATTAGCGAAATTGTATTTTTCCTCTAGAGTGATTCTGGATTATTATCTACAAAGGAAAACAGAAGTTGGCTTTTTAAGCGTTCCCTATACATGTATAAATATATATATTTACGTTAAAGTTTTTTATTTTACGAGTGCTCGTTAAAATACTTCGAGAAGGCATTAAGATCGTTGATTAACGAGAGTTTTTTTAATAAATTGGAGAGCCCAACAAATATAAGTTTTTTTTGGGTACTCAGCCGCAAAGAAAATAATACTAACTTTTAATAAATTAATCTCATTAAAACCAATGGACAAAAACAAAAAAAAAAAAATATTACATGATACAATATTATGAGCGACATGACTGAATAGCTTTTATCATTATTTAGATACAGTAGTTAACTTAGGCCTTTTTCTCCAAAACATGCTTTATCTCTATGTTATTTTTATTGTAAAAAGTCTACATGTAGTTCAAATATATCTATTAAATATTTTCAAAACTTATAAGATAAATTTTATTTACAGACCTGCGGGAAAGTGTTTGGGAACGCGTCAGCATTAGCCAAACATAAATTGACACATAGTGACGAAAGGAAGTATGTGTGTAATGTCTGCAGCAAAGCTTTCAAAAGACAAGACCACTTGTGAGTAATTTTGACATTCTTTGAATATCAACAAAATCATTTTTATTAGAAATTGAGACAGTAATTATTCTTTGTATAAATCAATCTAACTATTTATTTTCCTCTATCTCTACTTCTTCTTATTATTATGATTGTGTGACCGTAATAATAATAATTCTTTTCATCCCTCAGTAGGTCGATATTTTCAAATTATACTGTTTATATTTAAAAAAACCTTCTCTATAATGGTCACGGCTTAACAATAATTTATGTTCACATGTAACCTTTTTTCATATTTATTGTGACCTTTTTTTCTACTCCCGTGCCACATCTCTGCTTCTCCTTCATTGGTCTCCGTTTAACTTACATCGACGAGTATCAGTTTTCATTATACTAGGAAATTGAAAACGCACAACCCCAGGGATAAGTATAACCGCAGAGTGCTGATATTAATGCTTAAGTACCTATATACGTTCGTATGATATATTATTAGGTAAATGGTACATTTTTTCCTTGCTGGCAAGCTGTTTAAAATATCCATATAAATTATCATTGTGGCCAAGACCAAAGTACGATACGGAAGGTTTTTGATGGTTCTTATAAAAAAAACGTTTATTGAGAAATAAATTTGCACATAAGAAACATTTATGTGTGCCACCCGAAAAGCACAATATATATTCTTATTTTTCGAAATGTTTCTTTCTATTTATAAATTACAAAATATATTCCGATCACATGCGTTTTATATTATTGTTGTCAAAAAGAGAATAAGTTCGTGAATGATCTATGGAATCTGTTGACAACTCTTGTAGACGTTTTCGGAATGGCAATTATTTTTAGAAGGTACCAATGCAGTAAATAATTTTTAACAAAAAACCCATTGATAATATATAAAATAATATTATGGACAAAAGAGCTTCATCATACGAATTACATGTCTTATAAGATTATTTTCATCCTGGCACATGAATTGAGAATACTATTTTAAATGAAAAATGTTGACATTTATTACAAATATATGAAATAACCTACCTATAATGTCACTTAAATTTGTATATTTAAGTAATACAACTGTAATGATATTAAACGAATGAATTGCATAGCATTAATTAATTTCCAATAAATATCAAGAATTGAAATTTATAATATATAATATATTGTGTATATATATATATATATATATATTATGTAATATAACAATAATGTATTTTGCTTTAATAGAAGAATTTTAAATAGTCATTTACTTTTCAAAATTATTCGATTTTGTTGTGCCAATAGTCTGATGTATTTTCATAAAAAAAACTTCATTGTAGTAAATAGACAATAAAATTTCTCTGGGATGACATGTGCATTGTATATTTAATATACAATGCACATGTCATCCCAGAGAAAATGTTATCACAGTTAAAAATACTCAGAATATGTATAGCGTGATTGGCTATCTCAGTAGAAGAAATGGTAGCGGAAATAACAATTTCATTTCTTCTAACTCGATAATATTTTAAGCGAACCCTATCGCCAAAAACGAAAATCCCCAGAGGACATCCCTCTTACCTGCCATTCGAGATAAATGGCAGCGAAAATTGGTTTCTCAATAGCCTAGATGATCGGTCGACAGGGATAGACTCACAAGCTTTTGGTCGATCCCAACATCAGGTCGATTTATATCGTCAAGACCCTACCAATTGTCAATGGTGTGTTTTGGGTGTATTTATTCCGCAGTTGCATCATAACGACAACAGTAACAGAGAAAAAAACAAAAACGTCTAACTAGGTTACGAATTGTTTGGGTAAATTCTACACAAAAATACACTGGGTCATATATCAGTTGAGCGGAATCCTGGGCCATAATTTTCATGTTAGAATACAGCTATAAATCTATTAGTACCACGCCTATCATTCCCAACTATCCCTAACCACTATGTACCCAGAGAAAACGATGAGAGAAACTTTATCCGGATTGTTCTTTGAACAATAGTCGTTAGCATTTCCGACCGCACTTGTGTTTTAGTAATTTTGCAATAATAAGTGAAAATCCCTCTACTCAGTTCGTAGCATTAAATTATGTAGAAAAATCTGTGATGGGGACGGCATTCGAGTGCTCGGACTACAGGATGTTTGGATACGGAAAATAAACAATGGGAAGAGAATAAAACAATTATTACTTTGTTCCAACTGGGAATTGTTCTACAAATATATGATTCAGACCAACGAACGCTTTGTTTTCTTCGATGTAAATTTTACTATATTTTAGAATGACTATATACAAATAAACGGAGTTCATGCATAGATGAAGAAATTTTCTCCTTGTTTTCATAATTTATTGATAATAGGTTACTTTTCAATAGATAAAAAATCATGAATTATGTATATTTTATATACACTTATATTCAAACTAATTTTATGATATATTAATAATCTTAGTAACGTACAATCATTAACGATCACGCATAAAATTTCTTACAAAATGAATAAATAATAAAAAATATCTGAAATTGACTTAAACTCTCCTTTAAATGAACTTCGTCTGAATACCCTGATCATATTGAAATTGTAATATTTCATAAAGCAAATTCGCTAATACTATACAAAAACTATTGATATTTCTTCGTTAAATAAGTCGTCTTATTTTGATCTTAATTGAAAAATATTGTTGTTAGTTTATATGAACTTTTGATTCTTTATAGATAAAAAAAAATTAACCCACCCATACCCATATAGATTGTACAGTGTTATTATCAATCGTATATCACGTAATTTTATATTTTATTATAACATAACATGATTTTTTATAACATAATTACTCGGCTTAATGAAATTGATAAGTTCATTAGCATATTATTATTATATAATGCCAATTTGATTGATAAAGGAAAACAATTTTTTTTTTAATTAACAATCCCAAATTGAAATTGTCCTATTCGCATCAAAGCGCGTTATGGCTGTGATATAAATCACTATCAGATATTAATTTATATTACTCACATATATGTCACATCTCTGGTTTTTCCTTTGTTTTTTATATCATGTTTAAACGTAACTAATTAATTAATTGAAATTTAACTTTATATATTTATAGAAATGGACATATGCTAACACACCGACACAAAAAACCATTCGAATGTAAGGCAAACGGTTGTGGTAAGTCTTATTGTGATGCACGATCACTTCGGCGACACACAGAAAATCACCATCATCATCAACAACCGTCGTCTAACCAAGGTTCACCGCCATCATCACCATCCTCATCAACTAGTTCTGGATGTATACAATATGCACCAGCACCATTAGCATCACCTCCGTCTTCGACGACAACCACAACGACCACTACATCCACTGGCACAGCAACTACCACGTTGCAGCAACAACAACAAATTCAGTCGTTACCACAATCACAATCGCAGAGTCAAACACAAGACACTCCAAGTCAACTCCAAAAACTACTCAGTGCCGAACCACTGTCGTGTTCTTCGCCTGGCAAGGTAAGTCTAAAATTGGATTTTCAGTAATATATAAAATTCTCAAAGTCCAAAATGTTTAGCACTCATGTAAAGAGCCAAGTTTAAATGATATAGATAGTATAGTCTTCTTGAAGTACAGTGCTACTACATACATGTAATTCTTTAATAGCATTTATTTTATAGTAAGGTATAGTGAACTCGGTAAATATGACTATTGTTCTGAATTTTGGATAATTTTTTAATCACGCATCAATAATTACCAATATGATCTTTGTTGATGATAATTTCCTTAAACTTCTAAAACTTTAAAAAAATAAAGAACACGACTTATTTCAGAGTCTACAAAATCGGGTTACATTATTAACATAATAGTTCATGACTTTTTAAATACATTATTAATGGTATATTCAATTTTTTATAATTATAAAATAGAAGTTATGCCTATTAAAACTTTTAAATAACATATAGGACAACTAAAATGTACATTAACATAAAATGAAAAAAGGCAAAAAATCATAAACTTACTTTTTTTGTATTTTAAAAACTATACAATCATATTGTCTGAAAGGCATATTTACTAAAAAAAAAATTGTATCAAAATTATCGAGAGATATTGTAGTTTTTAACATTTTACAGAGGGATCCGTTTATCATAACTTAATCAATTATTATAAAATTATAAATAATTCCAAAATTTTTTTTTTAAGTTGCATACATTTTATTTTTTACAAGTAGTTAAATATTTTTTAGGTTCATCTCATATCCCTTATAAGAGATATGAGATGTACCATTTTAGTAAGTTTAAATGGAAACATACATATTTAACTAGTTAAAAAAAGAGAAAATTATTGAATTAATTAAATTACTGGTCGATAACAACTTTTGAAACCAATAATTTTTGAAGTTGAAAAGTCAAAAAATAAATTTTTGAAATTATTCTTAATTTATAAGTAAGCCATTGAATCATTATCAGAGCTCGGGACTTTATTTGTTTATAAAAATTGTTTTAACTTCTTCTGAGTCACCCACTCAATAAAAAATTATTATAAATGTACTCAGTACAACAGGGATATTTTTTGTTCTAAGAGAGATGTGAACCTTTTACGACCCAAAAAAATGAATTTCTAATTGTTATACACTGTTTAGTGTTAAAAAAACTAACATGAATAGGTATATTCATCATTTATATAATCGGGATGACTAAAATAAACTTATTCAATGTAATAAGTCCCAAGCCCTAGTTATAAAAGGATCACTCTGTATTTGTTGTTAACGTTTTTGTAAAGTTAAGCCAATAACGTCAAAAAAGTTTTTAGTTGTTTACTTCAATTTTCGACACAAATAATTATCTTTAATCATTATTAATGATGATGTGTCAATTATTTAAAGACATTCTATATGAAAGCAGTAAAACCCAGAGATTCTTATCCAAAGTTCAAGACTTATATTAGTATACTTTTTTTAAACCTAAATAACGGGTCAACATAATAACGAATATTATTACCTCGGATGTATTTTGGCAGTAGGCATATTGAATAAAAAAGACACAAATTTACACTCTGATGACCAAATATTGAAGAAGTAATGCAACAAAATTCCTCGAATAATGCTTTTTTTCTTACTTTTTTTTTTTTTGTCACATTACTAATGGTATTTTTTATGGACCTAGAGACAGTAACCCTCATTTTTTTTTACCCTCGCTTCGTCTATTTTATTTGGAAGTTTGCCCTATTTTATTTCTATACGATGTTTTTGTTTTCTTTTACATTATTTTTATTTATGCGGGCAAAATAAACCGAATTGGAACAAAACTGAAGTCAAATAAGGGAGTCACTTGACACCAAGATTGTGAATGGATTCCATTTACAGATACTTCAAAAATTGTTTGATTCTATTCGTTTGATAAAAAGTTTTTCAAACATAAATACTAGTCTTTTTTGTAATATTTGATAAACTACTAAATAATAATTTAGAAGTTTGAATTATTTTATTTTAAAATTTATAACAACATGTTCTAGTTATAAAATAAAATATTTTAATGAGTTATCAGACTCAGCGAGTTGAAGCACATCGATGACTTATAATATTCTCCTGGCCTTGCAACTAAATGTTCTTTATTTCTATGATTTGTGGTTTTGACCAACACGAGGTGACATTTAAGGTTTTGTGGTACCAGGCGCGTCACGTATGCATTTGTACACGCACCAGTAACAAAAAGGTTGCATACGTGATTCCCTGGACAAGGTTGGTAATTACCACTTGGGAAAAACACAGTTAGTTTTTACATAAATTTGGAATACTCAACTTCCTACTTCAAATATTTAGAATATAATAAAATAATCCCCTTTCTCATCGATTCACAGAAACATTAAAATTATTTTATAAATCTTTAACACTCTTTGAAATATAATTTTGAATGTTAAAATTTCAACAGCAAAAAGTTTTAAACTAGTACTAAAATTCAAACGTGACGAAATTATAGACAAACTTATTATTATTTTCAATTAAATTTGTTTTCGTTAGCATTTGTTTCAAATGTGTTTTATATACATAAATACTTATGAATACTCATAAAGAGATACTAACAAAACGTAATGCCGTTCTTCTTGTATGAAATTATTTATCTTAATTACATATCATAATCTTTTTTATAAAAAATTTTATCAACAAAAAAGACTACTAGTGTTATTTATTTATATTTCACATACATATTTCGAATAAAAATAAATGTTAACGTTTTTTATGATAATAAAAAATAATTGTAATTTCTTTTTTCTTAAGCGTTTAGACATCATAACAATATCTATGATTGACGTTTTTGTTCATGATTGGAGGAATCGTGTTCGTATTTATACAATAAATTATTATATACTCAGACTTTTAAAAAAATGTCATAACAATAAAATAATTGAAGTCAACTTCGAAAACATTTTAAAATCTAAATTGAAAACCCTGTAAATGTATAATGTACTTGTAATTGTACAACTATTGACTATGAATCAATAAATAGATTGAATAAGTCAAAAACATATATGCTTTTTTTAGTGATTCTAAAAATTTTCATAATTTTACTTTGCTCATAAATTGTTTGACTTAAATTTTTTCCCTACAGTTCGTAATTCTTATTGAACGAAATTCGACGAACAGACTTGTATGACATCATATAGTAGTACATTATATTTTAACAGGGAATTTTTCAACCCGTATGTTCCTATAAAACAGATTAATAATGACAAAAAATATAGTGTATTACGCAGTATAACTGAAAGCTTACCTGAAAGGATCAAAAAAATAATAACTAGGAATGAACTAAATGAAAGCAAAGAAAGGATGGCTTTTAGGTGGAAGGCTATTACACGGGGCGGTAATCGCTCGTACGTCTGGCAAATAAGTACCCTCGCCATCTTTGGCTATCGTATACGATCGGTAGTACCAGAAAGGGTATATTGTCCATAAAGAAAATAGAATCCTCGTAGCGGACGTCGTATGGTACACCTAGTGAAACGACAACGACGACAATATTACCTAGAAAATTAGATAATGCCTTAGGGTATTTACGCCAGCAGGGGATGAACAGCAATCGGAGAGAAAAGACAAAACGCAACAATATCGAAAGACGTTAGTTTTAGAATATTAAATTACACTTTCCATTCCCTCAATCGGTAGCTTTTTCCTGAACGTCCTCTTTTAACTATGCCTCGCTCTAGTTATCTCCGGATACAAAACGACTATACTGATTACTAATGAAAGGGATGATCTTACACGCTATTAGTGTTGACAACGAGTTACATTAGAAACTCACGTGCCGCTTTCATGTACTTAACGAACGAACGCCGATAGCAAATAGGCCATAATAATAATAATAATAAAATTCAACAAAAAAAGAATGTGCTGATGCTTCAATGAAATACATGTGTTATATATGAACTGAATGATATTTGATCACAAAAAAATACTTCCTCGATTTTATATCTAAAATTCCAATAAACAATAAATCGTTATGTAACTATTTGCATGACTTCACAACATTATTTTTATGATAATTCGTAAAGAAGTCAGTAAATAATATTTTTAGTCTAGTGAAAACTATCATACGATTTTACAATACGATACCATCGGTACATGATTTTAGATTTGTTTAAAAAGATAATTTATCTTTGATGACATTGTTGAAATCTCACTCCGTACATAAATTTGTATCCTTCTGTAAACTGTTTTATAAAAAAATAGTCAAGTATAAAATATTTCTAAGTATCTTCGTTTGACATTGTTGGAAACGTTTGCTAACAAATCGTAAGATTGTCGGAATCGTCATAGACGCGTACACTATGTTAATAGCAGTAGTAAGTTATCCAACGATTTTTTTTTTTAAAAAGTTCGCTACTTGTCTCGCCACTCCTTTCTGACAAATGACTGTCACACTATAGGAGTGGTGTGTTTTGAGTCAAACGGAAGAACAGGAAATGAAAGAAGAATACGCGAGACTACGGTTACGTAGGAGACCCTCTTCATCTCACCTCTCTTTGCTACGGCACAGACAATGGAGAAATAACGTGACGTTCGGAGGTAATAAGTTCAAATTACTTCCGAGCCGAGTGTCACGAAATGAAACCCAAGTTTGACGTCGCTCCTCATCCCATCGTACGCAACCGCACACCCAGTTAAATTTTGTCATTCGACCTCGGCCGTACAACGACTTTGCCGAACCGCAGGTTTTGAGAATAGCAGTGGCAATGCGAAAAACAGTAAACCACTGAAAAGTATATAGCGAGCTTTCAAAGTGATAATAATTGTCACACTTCAATAAAAATTATTTTTTCTAATCGAAATTACGATAGCCAAAATCAATATCAAAAATATTCGTTCCTGTTACATGACTTTAATGTTAAGAAAAAGAAGCTATAAAAATCAATTGATTATTTTCTGTCATTTATAATTTTCAACGAAAAATTACTAATTTTGTACATTTATTAATAAAAAATGATTTATTAAAATTCAGTTATCAGTCGAACAGAGCTAATT